ATCTATCTATCTATCTATCTATCTATCTATCTATCTATCTATCTATCCATCCATCCACCCATCCATTTTATTCTGCCCTGAATAGCTTGAAACTTCCATACAGGATAAACGGGCTTCAGACTCACAGGACTGCCCGTGGCTCTGCTTCCCACATGCTGAAACTGAAGGAGTGTTCAACTCACTACGCCAGGCTACAGTTTAGTTTTCCACATTTGTGTTGGGAGCATGAAGATCCTTACACCCATGCTTTTTACCCTGATGCCTGAAGGGACGACACCCACATTTGAGGCTATGTGTGAATATGAAATATGCAGAGGAATCAATAGATGCATATTATTATATTATATTATATTATATTATATTATATTATATTATATTATATTATATTATATTATATTATATTATATTATATTATATTATATCTTCTATCTTGAATTGTCCTCTATGATACTTTTTTCTCTCCATAAGATCCAGATCGAGAACATGCATTTTATTTATGATGTTTCTGTATCTTCTATAATATACAACAGTTCTTTAGTCTTTCTTTATCTTTTGTGACTTAGACTTTTTAAATGAATATTTATCATTTATTTTAAACCTCAGTTCAGGTTTATTAAATATCTCCCATGATTCAACTTATGTACCTCCATTCAGAACATTTTAAAAGTGTCATCATGTTCTTTGATAATAATTCATGTAATGTTAAATGATGTTCATCTATTTTCATTAATGATTTTAACTTTGATTCCCAGTTTCTATACTGTTTACTTGCTACTATTGCCTTGCTTCTAATTTAAAAAAAAAAAAAAACAACAGCACTTTAATATAAGCCAGATATGCCTTTAATCCCTGCACTTGGGAGACCACAGGATCTCTCTAAGTTCTAGGCTAGCTTGGTCTACCCAATGAGACCTCATCTCAATTAGTAATAATAATAATACAGTCTTCATCAAAATTTGCCAGGAAAAATGAGAAAAAATGTGTAAGTTTTCCCTGAACCAATCTTAAAATGTTTATAAACTATTAGTTGGTCAAATCAACTTTCCTTTCTCAAAAAGCAAATAAAACTTTATTTGCAAATAAAAAGATAAAAACTTAAGCCCACTTTGAGGCTGTTTTCTTAATACTCTATGACTTAGCAACCTGGCTCATAGCAAAGAAAACTGGTTGTTAAAATACTCAAGTTGTATGTAAAATTTAAGGAGAGAGAAAAAGAATTAAATTTTAAATTTTCCTACTTTGTGAAGTATTGATCACAGTGTAGGAAAACAATGCACATACTTAGGTGCTAGACAAGGCAAAGACCTAACAGGGTAGTCTTTTTAATATCTTTATTATTTCTAATTATATGTGTGTGTCTGTGCACCTGATGGCAGGTTTCCACAGAGGAGTTATGGATGGCTGTGAGCTGCCTCATGTGGATGCTGGGACTTGGACTCAAATCTTCTGGAAGAGCAGTGTGTGTGCTTAACCACTGAGCCATCTCACCAGCCTACAGGAAATTCTTTTAATTATTTATTTTTATATTGTGAACTCATTTATTTAAATTACTTCTATAATTACTGCTTTTTATAATATCTAGTACAGTCAGGGGGAAAAGAGCTAGTCTCTTTTTTTTAATTAAATTTTTACCTTTATATTAATTACAGTTTATTCACTTTGTATCCCAGCTGTAGCCCCTTCCCTCAGCCCCTCCCAATCTTACCCTCCCTCCATCTCTTACCATGCCCCTCTTTAAGTAAATGTATAGGGGAGGTCCTCCTCCCCTTCCAACTGACCCTAGCTTATCAGGTCTCATCAGGACTGGCTGTATTGTCCTCCTCTGTGGCCTGGTAAGGCTGCTCCCCCATCAAAGAGCCACCCACTGAGTTCATGTCAGAGACAGTCCCTGTTCCCCTTACTATGGAACCCACTTGGATACTGAGCTGCCATGGGCTACATCTGAGCAGGGGTTCTAGGTTATATCCATGCATGGTCCTTGGTTGGAGTATCAGTCTCAGAAAAGACCCCTGTGCCCAGATATTTTAGTTCTGTTGAACAGCTAGTCTCTTAAAGTTTTAATTAATGGCACAAACAAAGATAAAGAATTACAAATAAAATTTATATGATAAAACTGTGTATAAAAGCTGTCCCACTGTGCTGTTTCTCAAGTAGCCGGTAGAGTACAGTTAATGGTATAGAAAAACTTTCAACAGAAAATTTAAGGGCTGGAAGGTAAGCCTTAAGTGTCTTTACTGCATGATACAGATTCCTAGAACATTTAAGACTTGCTTAAATTTGAAATCTAAAATAAAAGCAAGCTCTCTGCAACATTCCTCTTATTTCTTACCTTGGCCTATCTTTTAACCAATGTTTTTATTTTCCATTTTTCTATGCTTAGTATGACGAACTGGGGCAGAAAGACATATGACAAGTATGAACATATGACTATATGTTAGTAGGAACAAAAAGGGACACATCTTTACCCATGTTTTTGTCTTCAAAAATGGGAAGCTCATACTATTATGGATGCTTGTTGGGATAAGTTGAGACTGTTGTTATAGAACCTAGATGGACCCTTTCCAGCTGCTGCAGAAGCTGCCTGATACTTCCTTGGGTTCCTGGAACTGAGGTGCACTTTAGAAGCAGATATCTGGTTATTGTCTTGAGTTTTTATATCAGATAAAAAAGAGCAAATCTAAAGTTATTGATGTACATTGCAAAATAGCTTCCAATGATCAAAATATATATTTATTCATACAGGAAGAAATCTCCTCCCAAAACATAGTATATGATCTATTTTCATTATTCATGTTAATATTTTTATTTATGCAAATCTCCAGTTAAATATTTTAATATACTTTTGAGAGTCAGTTATTTCTACAAACTTGGTAGTTTTAAGTTTTCCAAATATTTAAGTTATATTATGTGCCTAAATCCATTCAGAGATAAATCCAAAATATTTGTCCATAGACAAATCGAGATCTGTGTTTGCCTCGTTTGGTAAATCTGGTCACTTTTAAGCAGGTGAGGCTCACCAGAATCAGAACTGAGAAACTGAATGAGGTACTTGATGCCATTATGGTCTCTCATTGCTCGTTGGTTGTTTTCGTTTCCCATACATAGCACCCTGATACAATTCATTACATTCACCAGAACACTTTCTATGTCTAGGTTCAACAGATTTATCAGAGCTGGAATTCCATTCTGAAAAGAAACAAAGGGAATTAAACTTGAATTAATTTAAGATTAATGCTATTTTGTTTGAAAGTCTGTTATCTTTGTGTAAATACATCCTTATTTAAAAGTCTCATGTCTAATGATGTCACACCATAAGTTAAGACAACTGAATAATTCTTATCCAGAAAAACACAGTATTATTGCTGAACTAAGGTAAACACATAATATGCATTATCTAACGCAATAAAATGGAGTGACATAGCACAGCCTAAGCATACTGCATACACAGAGAAATTTTGCCCTAATTCGGGCTAATAGCCAAAATCAACAAGAGAGGTAAAAAGATAAAAGTGAGTAACTTGGGAATTGGATTTGGATGTGGCTATATTTTCAGTATTTTTTCTAAAGAATTGATATTAGACACTGCAATTAAACTTTTTCAGAAAAGTTTTAAAAAATGAACAAAGAAAAATCCTAAAAAGAGCACAAAGAAAACTGGATAGAAATTGTTTTCCACCATAAAGAATTCAAAGTAACAGTATTAAGCCTGGCAGAAGCTTTTATAATAGATGATTCAATTGATATTGAATAAACAACCATATGAAACTGAAGAAACAAATCAAGTAACTTCATGTGTAAATATCTAAAGAAGGAGCTTAAAATATTAGTGGACACAATAGGGTAGATTTTATTTGAGAAAAAGCTTAGCAACTATTGCTTGGTGTTTAGCAAAACCAATTTGCTTTAGTTCTTTCTGGTATACAATTGTGATATATTTTTCACACAGAACGAATATCTTCATTAAGACAAGAAACAACCAGTATATACTATGAAAAACACTCTAACTTTTCTCAAGGGCTTTGTCATGCTGAGCATTAGGCCTCTGGCCCTCTGGGCTACAGACCTGCCGTCACCTAAATGCTTGCTGCTTGCTCAAGTGTCTCCCCTCTCCTTTCCATGATCATCCAGGAGTTTTGTTTCTGTGTAACAGCACATATCTTTCTACCTTTTATGTTGGAGAATTTCTGTCATTGAAAAAAATGTTCCATAAAATAGTACTCACGTATTTGGCAATAACATCTTTGTTTTCACACTTAGCAATATCATATAGAATGACAGCACAGCGAGAATGTAGTTCAGGTTCTTCAGAACTCAGCAGGTCAATCAAAGCAGGAATGCCTTCTGCCTCCACCATAGCATGTACTACACTTTCATGCGTAGAAATATTACACAATAACCCAACAGTCTTACACTGCAGTTTTAGTTTGGGAGATTTTAACAGGTTGACTAAGGCAGGAATGGTGCCTGAAAAAAAAGACTAAAATAAGCATAAATTATTCAAAATCATTTGTAGTCAAACTATTCTAACAGTATTGAAATAATTTTCCTGGTATGGCAGTATAAATAATTATGGACAGTTCTAAAAAGTATAGAATAACAACTTGAAGTGATGTCTTATCTATAAGATAGTGGCTTTTTTCTATTTGCATATTTGATTTCCTATGACATAGATAATCAGACACTTTGTATTAGTAAATCTAAATCATCTTTAAAATGCTAAATGTTGGTGTATGAGAATTGACAATTTTTAATGTAGAAAGGAACTCAGTATGCAGTCAGTTCACTATCTCCCTGTGTCAGCTTCGCAAGTGCTGGGCTTACAGGTGTGCATGAGCATGCTTCTAAAGCACCTCTGTGGGTGCTGAACTGTCATTGTGTGGCAGCATTTGTTTAATTATTTGAATATGCTATCATATGTTATCAAACCAAAAAGAGAACAAAAAAGTGCTGATGTAGTAAAATGTAACACTAGCCTCATTTATTATAATTTATTTATCTACCTGAAATGGAACCATCTATTGTTAACTTCTTGGGGGGGGACATGTTTTTAATGAGTTAAATAAACTTAAGCTTATTCATTCATCAGTATTCATGGAGCATTGCATGTATCTCAATATGTACATTGAGATGTGGATGCCATGCTTGACAGTTCAGACATCCCATCATTTTAGATGGGTGTAGTGTACAGTGCTGCCCTCAGAACAAATCCATGTGGTTGATCCACTTGGTTAGTGAAGAAACTAGGCCAGAGAAATCACACAATTAATGAGGTTTCAAAATGCAGAACTATTTACAAACTGGCCTGACATTTTCTTCTACTTTTCAATTTAAAAAATAAGTTGTGCAAGTGTGGACATGAACTGACTTATAAATGAAAGTAATTCTGGGGCTGCTGTGACAGTTACACTTGACTGTTGCCTGGACATAACCTAGAATCCCCTGAGGGTCTCTGAGAAGGACTGTCTAGATAAGGCTGGCCTGTGAGCATCTATGTGGGGACTTCTTTGTATCCCTAATGTTAAAGGATGTGGAAACTCACCTACATCAAGTACTGTGGGCGACGCCATGGCCTAGGCAGGGGCTTCTGGACTGTACATCTAGAAAGAGGGCTGGGTGCAGAAACACGTGTGTGCATGTGCGCAGCTCTCTCTGCTCCTAACTGGATGTGTGACTAGCTGATTCAAGTTTCTGCATCCTTGACTTCTCTGTAATGATAAACTGTATATAACCTGGATTTATAAGCTCAAATGAAAACTTTCTCTCCTAAGTTGTTTTTTTGTCAGCTTAGATTATCACAGCCAATATTCAACTAGAACAAATGGTTTGATAAACTTCTTTTTATTGATTTTTAAAATTTCAAGTTTTTACAGAAATAGAGTTCCTCCAAAAAGTGTATAGTTTTTGACCATGTGCAATTTTCCCATGAAAAATACGATACAAAGTTGACAAAATCTAAGTGATCTTAAAGAAAAAAGAAGCTTAAAGTCAACTAAAAAGTATTCTTTATAGTTAAAAACATTTTTAAAGCAAAGTTTGCTTGCATACACTTGTAAACGGAACACTCAACAGACTATAAGAGAGTAAGACCCAATTGACACTGCTAAAGTGGCCAGGACCCTGAGACTAGGATAGGTCATGGACCTTTGGGGAAAATCATTATTCTCTTGCTAAAGGAACGTAACAAAAAGTGACTCCTAATGGCATACTGCTTTTCTCATAGATGAGTGCCTTACTCAGCCCACATCAGAGAAGCTTCCTCTTGCTTCTCTAACACAGAGACCCACACTGGACACTGTGCAGAGAATGAGAGACTTTAGCACCCAGTCCCAAATGAAATGTCTTCATCAAGCCCTTCCCTTAAAGGTTCAGAGATCTATGTAGAAGAGGAGGGGGAAAGTGTGTAAGAACCACCCATCCTGAGCAAGAGGCTATCTGCATTTGAAACCAACTGGCAAAGGGGAAATTAGATTTTTCCAGTGGAGTCTCACTAGGTATAGCTACCGTGCTCCAGGGCAGACCCCATGCCTGGAGAGCAGTTGGGAAAAAGCAAGTAAGCAAGCAAACAAACAAAACCTTTGTTATTTTTGTGGATTTTTTTTGTTTCATTTTTCTTTGTTTTGCCATTTTTGTCCTTTCAGACTTTTGCTTATATATTTTCATTTATGGTGTGGTGGGGGTTTCTGTCTTGCTTTGTTTTTGTTTCTTGGGTGTTTGTCTTTGTTTGCTTGTTTAGAAACAGCAAAAAAAAAAATCGTAAAGTTGAGTAGATAGAGAGGAGAGAAGGGTCCTGGAGGAGTTAGGGAAGGGGAAAACATGATCAAATATATTGTATAATTTTTTAATTAAAAAAAGGTGAGGCAACAGGATTACAAGTTCAGGGCCAGCATGGGCTACATGTGAGACCCTATCTCAAAATAGAAACATATATGTCTATATATTACCTGAGAGAAAGAGTGTGTACTTTGCATCTGCTACAAGTATTAAACATGTATGTCTGTTAATATAAATATATTCCATACATATAATGTATTAAAATGGTTGCCCTGAACATAATATAGCTTCACTTAATATATGAAAAGACAAAGATGGTTAATATATTTTATATTACCTGCATCCAAAATACATTTCCAGTAATGCTCCTTTGCTAAGCAAATTACTTCTAAAGACATGACAGCCATCATCCTTCGCTTGAAGCTTTCACACTGCAACATTTCTGATAGGAGTTCAATAGAAAAACACAACTGTAGTTCACATCAGAGGCTGACTGTTTTTATGTAGGTAAAGAAACACAAGAGTTGAGATTATCCCATCCCCAGCTTCATGTGCTAAATTCCCTCGTTTATGTTCCTCTGGGAGTTGCTGAATAGACTACCTTAGCTTGGATCTGGAGTGGTCCTCAAAGGCCCTTCCAAATGGTTTAGATACTAGCTAAACTTGCTGCTGAAAGATGATGGACACTTTAAGAGGTGGGACTTAGAGGGAAATTTCAGGTCATTGGGGAAGCATCCTTGAAGGGGATGTGAGATTCTGTCTCTTCCTCTTCCTGTCTCTGTTTTATTATACCTCTAATGAGGCAAATAAGTCATGGGCCCCTGCAACAGGCTCCTGGAATAAGTGTTATTACTTCATTGCAGCCAATCCTGTGAGCACAAATAAAGCCGCTCTGCAGATCTTGATTATCTTGGAATTTGTACAGAAGCTATGTCCAAGGTCTCTGTGGTTTATATAATACATAATATATACATTATATTATATTAATTATATTTATTACATTATATATTATAATATTATAATATTATGTTATATTATTAATATATTATATTATATTTTATTATATATATTGAAAAAATCCTAAAATTATTTGACTTTGGTCTGAACAGCTTACATTGACTAGTAATACAGCTCAAATTCACTTGAAAAATAATAGATTTGTCATGTGTCTATGATTAGTTTTGAATAAAATCTGAGTAGAAGATTTAAAGAATAAAGTAAACTACATTATCAATATAATTTTAATAAGGATTAAATTAGATATGGTGATTTGCACATTTCCTGAAAATGATTTATATAGTTTTTTTTAAATATAGTACAAATTTGAACTCCAAACAAAACATATGTACACTTCTAAACAATGTCTACGGTCTGAGAAAGCATGGGGCTGTATCTTCCTGTCATTCTTTCTCTGGCCTCTGTCTTTAAAGCTGTCCTGGTCCTTTCTACTCCAAAGGCTAATTAACTGCTGCTAATTAGTTGAATTTTGCTCATAGTGGGAATGGGCAGTGTGAGGAGAGAGAGCTATTTCAGGGCTTCAGGCAATAGGCTAGCTGTTTCTGCTGGTGTCATTATCATGTAATCACCAGGACTTTCTAACCACGGCTACTAAAACTAGCGGCCTTTGGGAGTTTCCTATGCCTTTAAGGCATCATGTCAGGGGTCAGAATTAGAAGTATTTGTAGTGGTTGTCTGTTATAAGTCAAGTCAATCCTCACAGTCACTCTTTTAAAATACTAAGGTGCAACAACATATGTGCATAAAAATAAACACTAAGATATTTCCCAGCATCTCCTCGGGTTGATATACACCAAAAATGTCATTAATTAACAAATGCCAAGATTGGTACTGACACCATTTTGAACAAATAGTTGGGCATCATTGTGTGTGTGTTGTGTGTTGTGTTTGTGTGTTTTGCGTGTGTGTGCATTCAGAAGCATTTGTTTGTGTGTATACAGTGTTTGTGTGAATGTTTTTTTTGTGTGTGCATTTATGTGCATTTTTGTGGGTACTGTTTGAGTAAATGTGCTTTGTGTCTGTGACCACATGTGCATTTGTGTACATACATACACACCACATGTGTATCTGTTTTGTGTGTATACATTTTGTGTGCATGTGTGAGCATATGTGTTTGGTATTTGCGTGAATGTGTGGGTTTTGTATGTGCATGAATGTACATTTGTATCAGAGTGGGGTGCAGAGGTCAACACTGAGTATTTTGACCTTTTCTATTCTTTAACTTCCTCTTCTCTACTTTTTGAGACAGGGTTTCTCTGTTTTAGCTCTGGCTGTTATGGAACTCCCTCTATAGACCAGGCTGGCCTCAAACTCAGAGACCCAGCTGACTCTCTCCTGAGACAGGGTTCCCCACTGTCCCTGGAGCTCATCAGTTGGCTACACTAGCTAGCCAGTGAGCTCCAGGGACTAGCCCGTCTCCCATTTTTATTGCTGTCATGTCCTCCCTGTTTTCTCTTGAGTGTTTGTCTGCTGCTATTACGATTTAATCTTCATGAAATTTTCATAGGGTCTTGGAAATGAGTAAATTTCCATGTCTACCTTAAACTGACCTAATACCTTTATCTTTATAATAGTTCTAGCTAGATTAAACACAAAGTTGGGGTAAATTCTCAATTTTGCAAATCCAAGCTCCAGGACTACAAGCAGACCATGATGCCCAAGTTTACTTGTGCACTTAGCATCCGTATTGAGGTCCTCATGCTTGCACAGCACGTGCTTTACTGAGGCATCTCCTGAACCCAAAGGACCAAGCATCTTAAACCAGAAGAATCAGGTTGAAATATTAGCTCTTATCTTACTGCACTGGAAAACACAGTTCTCATTCTCCATCTTTCTTTTTGCTTTAATTTTCATTTTATGGTCATGATTCAAAATTATATCTCACTAAAATACCTACAGCAAAATATTGTGATTTTGCACCTTCTGGGATCACCTCTCTAGAAGGCAGGAATTTGGACTCCCCAGATCTGCATAATTTGATACTCTGCTGCATCTTGCTGCCTTGGCATCAGGCTTTGTTTCTGGCTTCATGTTACAGGAAATGGAAAACCAGCTCAATGTTGCTCTGCCATTTCCTCATATTTATAGTTGTTGCTTGAACCGATACTTAGAATTACAGTGTCTATACAAATGTCACTTTCAGGTGAGCACTGTAGTGATCCATGGTGGTGTCCCATCTCTAATGATTTTTCTCTGGTGGAATCTTTCCATATTTGAGATTCATCATCTTCATTTTTCCTGGCACTCTCCTGTGCCTTTTCTTAAGACTAGCTCCACTCTGGAATACTCCTTTGCTGTCATCCTTGAAATTCCCAGTGCCTTTCTTTCTGCTCCCTGGGGCCTTCCCACTTCTGTTCACCATGGGAAAAGGCTGACTTGATGCCTGCTGGTTTTTCTGGCTAGGCTCTGTGAAAAGTACTGGCACTGCCTGTTCTCCAGCCTCCTAAGGACTGTGAATGGTGAAATTTGAGACATTCTCAGCTTTCTTAACACTGGCTTGGGATTCCCTGGGAGACAAAGTCTAAGAGGTGCCTGCCTGGCCCATCACTCTTGTGCCTCCTGCTTTTTCTTTATTCTTGAGCTGCTGCTATTTTGTTGTTTAATTGTAATGGAGTTTGGGGAAGGACATGTACATTCAACAGACTATGTAACCCTTGTTTTTCTGGATAGGTTGAACACAAAATTTCGCATAAAACTTTCATCAAAATATGAAGGAAAACTTTAATAAAAGTTTAAAATTAAGGAATAAACAGGAAAAAAACCTTTGCTACTTAAGCTTGAATTTTTTTCTTTTTCTTTCTTATTTTTGGAATTCAGTTTACAAATAGAGAAAATGATGTTCTGACTTCTAAGAAAATTAGAAAATAAAAAAATAACATTGTGTAAGAAATAGTTCAAGGTCACCAATCTTTAAGTTAGAAATCAAACTACTTTTGCACACAGAAATATAGTTCCCATTATCAATTGTACTATTGTTGGTTTCAAAACATAAATTTATATCCTTTTAATTATAAAGATTATACATTGTAGGGCTGGAGTGATGGCTCAGAGGTTAAGAGCACAGACTATCCTTCCAAAGGCTCTGAGTTCAATTCCCAGCAATCATATGGTGGCTCATAACCATCCATAATGAGATATGATGCCCTCTTCTGGCATGCAGGCAGAATACTATATAAATAATAAATACGTTTTTTAAAAGTCTCTGTCCCTTTAAAAAAAAGATATACATAGTATATTATTTATTTATTCCATTTAAATTTATCAGTGATCATATTACAGAATAACCAGAACATTTACTTATAGTGAAAGCATATGTTCTATACTCACCTACCAAAGTTTCCCAAACTGCAAGTTCAGGGATATTCTGCTCTATTATATACTTCAGTACTTCTGTATGAAAAGTAAGCACTGACAAATGAATGATATTATTTCCTTTTGTATCTGTTTTTCTCCAGTTAGCGCCCAGAGAAAACAGGTACTGAATCGTGTCCAGTGCTCCTGAAGTGGCAGCAAGTAAGAGCGGAGTACACTGATTCCTAAAATCAAGCACACATTGTCACATCAGTCTTATTGCATTGCTGAAAGAGCTCTAATTTATATCATCACTTTGTCTTCCTGTAGAGTCTCATTCTGTGCAGTCCACATATTTGCCTCCCTGGCTACCTGCCCTTGTAGTCATCTCTGTCTTCTCTCTCATTTATTATGCCTTATGATGTATTTGGAAGTTGATACAACACAAAATAATTAAAATACACTATCCTATCTAATCTTTCCAGCAGCTTATAAATTACTGAACATATAATCAGGTATTATCAACTCACTTTACAAATATCAAATAGATTTGATAGTTGTCCAGCACATGTTTTCATATTTTACATTTAATTCCAAATCCCAGTCTCCTCATTGTAGCAGAAGCTAACAGTGTGGGAAAGACTGTTGTCTTGTATGATGGAGACACTTGCGTTGTGTGCATGGTTATCAACATGGTGCTTTAGCTCCCACCGTCCCTCAGATGTATGTGACCGTTCAAACAAGTGTGGCTAACAGGACGGCAGTGGAAGTTGCAAGGATGACTCTATTAAGAGAAAGGAGTATGTGCTATATTTCTACTCCTATCTATAATGCAGGCATGAAAATGGACAGGAGTTGTTGCCATTTTGTGCTATGGGAGGGAAGCCATATATTAAGGAACAGTAAGAGAAACCCAGTGTCCTTCAAACCACAAAGCCAGCATGTAAATAATAGACAGTTGCTTTAAGAATTAGCGTAAAGTATCCCTACAACAGTTTTGGAGAATCTAAATAAATCACCTTGTCTTTAGATTTGTAGACAAGCCTCAGGAAGACTTTATACCTCTACTCTAAAAATGACTCTTAAGCAGAATTATGAAACAGAAGACAATTGGAGACACTTCCTGTTTCCAATTTTCCTTCTTTTTGCTTGCATATTCTCTAGAAGCAAGTAGTTGCTTCTGCTGTCATACCGTTCTGTCCACTTTGATCTGGAGACAAGAGCAACTTTCTTCTTCTTAGTCACACAACCTAATAAACTTATCTGTGAAGCTACATTATTGATGCAAAAGTGAAAGAAATCCCCAGAATCCACTCTTTATTCCTCTAGGAAACACACATAGGCAGATGGAAGCTTTGACCTTTCTAAAGTTCAACGTTAAGCAGTAGGGGAAGTAGGGACCAGACGGGATGTCAGTGCTTTGCACAGCTGTCACTGGTAACCCATGCCAATCATGCCCCTAAGGTCAACTGTAGTAAGAAGCCCTTACAAATGCTCAGCAACTCACTCAGCTGTTGCCTCGGCCTCCACCAAACTAGGGTCCTTCCTGCAGAGCGCAATGATGATGCAGATGTTGTCATAGAATGCAGCGAAGTGGATAGGCATCCAGCCTCTCTTCTCAGTAAGTGTGTAGTCAGCTTTGAAACACAGTAGACAGACGGTTGCTTCCAGAGAGCACGCTTGCGCTGCCAGGTGTAGAGGCGTTGGACCTGAGATCAATGACAATTGCTCAGTAGTTAAACAGCTAGCACTCCTAAAATAAATAACAAAACACGCCTTTATGAAGCCCACCATATAGCTTAGTGCTATGTAATTAATAATAATTAAAAAAAAAAAAAACCTCCAAAGCAAGCACTAAAACAATTATTTGGCCCGTTCCCACTAGTGGGCAGCCCTGGGAGAGGATTGGAGGGTGGAGAAAAATAAGGTCCCATTCTCTCTGTAGGGACTCTCAGGTGTGCTGTGTCCCCTCACCACAGTAAGGTGGCCTGTTTAAGTGCCTGGTCCCACTCTGCCCTAGCCAGTTGGAGCCTTTTAAAGTAGTTGTGGGTTTTTTTTTTGTTTGTTTGTTTTTATGAAAGAAATCTTCTTTATTTACCTTATATAGACTCTAAAGGTATACGGAAAGTCTCTTAAATGTGTATAAAGGAAATGGAAATCTAAGGGCAAGGATGTTTTTGGTTTTTGTTTCCATATCCAATGCTCATCTCAAAACTTGGTCCTCAGCAAAAGTAATTATTCCCCAGAGTCCATATATCATTATTGCCACTAGATGGCAGCATGTCTAAATTATATTAACTTGTTTGTGAAAACAGGGCAATGGAGGTTGGTTTAGGGTCTTGCACATACTGGGCAAGCACCATACCGCTGAGCAGCATTCCTAGCTCTTAACTGCTTATGTACAAGCTGCCAAAACCACTTGGAAACTGAATTTATAAATACAAGTAGAGATTATAGCAAAATCTCTCTTAAATATTATTTTAAAAAAAACACCTAATTTATGCATATCAGTAACCATGGGCATGAAATTATACTTCAAAGTGAAAATGAAACCTCATTATTTTACATTTTTGTGCAACAAAACATTTGTAGAATGTATACTATACAGAGTTTTATTTTTATTTTTTGATGGGGTAATTGTTTATTTTCAAGACAATTTCATGTAACACAAGCTAGTCTTTTTTTTTTAATTTAAAGATAAATGCCTATAGAGTGTTTTTTTTTAAAGATTTTATTTATTTATTTTGAAAGCTCTATATGTAAACCAATATGCCAGAAGATGGCAGTAGAAGGTATAGATGGTTGTGAGCCACCATGTGGTTGCTGGGAATTGAACTCAAGACCTCTGGAAGAACAGACAGAGCTCTTAACCACTGAGCCATCTCTCCAGCCCCACAAGCTAGTCTTGAACTCACCTTATAACTAAGGATGACCCTAACCCTGTTTCCTGCTTCTCCTTCTCATGTGCTGGGGCAACAGGTTTGTGTCACCACACCCAGCAGAAAGGTTTAGGATATACAATAATCTTTTAAAATACACATGCTTCATTTATGCCTTACCGTTTCTTTCTTTTTTCACATCCACTTTGGATGACTCTGTTTAAAAAGAAAAATCACATAGAAACATGATTACTAATATATCGCAGTTTCCTAAATGAGTCAGAAAGGACAAATTGACAGTGTGTTGATACAAAGAGAAAAATTACACCAGACAAAGTGGAGTACAGTTTCTGGAAGAGACATTGGGTGTGTGGCGTGGACCCACAGCACGTCAGAGCTGACCGGGAAACTCTGCTTTTCCAGTGGATCTGCATGCGGATCCAAGCATGCACACGGGAGAATGTGGTGAGTTAGCAGTAATATTGCTAGCAGAACTGTTTATTCACACTCTGAACCATACCTATTCATCCTGGAATCTGAGAAGGACAGGATGAATAGAAGATTTTTACTTACCAAAGGTTCTTTTCATGTTAAAAAGTGCTTAAAGGTCAATTAGCTACTCACTGTACTTTAATCATTGAGTTCTGCTTTATGGTAATTGGGTTCGTTCATTATTGAACAAGGTTTAAAAACGGAATGAGACCTTGGCTGAACATGATGAAGCGCCTCTGGTTGACGTTGAAGTTGGCGTTACACAGCTGGCATATGATAGAGACCCGATTGTGCAGGGCAGCATGATGGAAAATGGCATAGCCTGCTTCATCAGAAACATTGATTGTTGAGCTTGAGGTTTTACGGCTAAATGTGTGGAAAACAGCAGACAAGCCGCGTTCAACGGCCGACTTCAAACCAAATGGGATACTCTAAAATTTAAAGGTCAGCATTAGTTTTCAAGATAGTTTTGTTGATAAAAATACATCTCACATTTTCTTTGAAGAGGAGGAGCACAGAGTGTATTAGCAGAGTCCCAAGGGAGCTGTTCGCTCTTTGCCACGCTACAGCAGGGCAGCATGTCTCCCTGGACCATGCTCAATCAACATCGTGGAGCTACAGGGATATTGAGAGCATAGAAATGTATTTGGAAAGATTGCTTCCTTTCTTTTAGAGTAAACAGTAGCTTCGTCCTTGCAGACAATTTCAGCAAAGTGGACAGATGTCTTCCTGAAATACTTTCAAAGCAAATGAAGATTATCTGCTTCTCTCTAACGTAAGGACAACTCAAGAAACGAGATATATAGTGGAGACTTTCCCTTCTTTATCTAGTTCTCACACAAAGAGGTAAAAAAAATATCGTGTTGTTCTTTGAGATGTTCTGATGAATATTTTAATTTAGACTGCTTATTAAAGTTTTAAAATTATGGCTTTTTAAACAAATAAATGGAAAGGAGGTATCAGTGTAACCTTTGAGGTTGGAGAGCCGACTGGCCAGTCCCAGTAGCTAAGGCAAAGTCTGTACAACCGATGGAGGGCTGACTCTGGCCCTCAGTCTTCACACCAGAAGGAAGCCGCGGGGTGCCTCTTACTCTGTGACTATTAACTCTTTGAACTTCACATTTCTCACTTGTATAACAGAAGGGAAAGCAATACAAGTAGTCCTTCAAAGGAGCTTTCCTATCTATAGTAGTAGTTAAACATTAGAAATCAGTAAATATTTACCATTCAGATTAACCACAATCCAGTTTATCGGCAATATATTTGTATTTTGCCAAAATGTATAATCTGGAACCATATAGATTATTAGCTAATAAAAACTGGAGTTTTCACTTCATATTGAAGTATTTATGTAAAATCAGTTCATCCCTAGTGTAAGGATGTAACGTTAGAGCAGCTGCAGGAGCCCTTCCATTCTCAGGGGTCTCTCCTGGGGAAGAGAATTTGCTTAAAAGAGTATTGGTGGCCACAGCTCTTGCTCTCTGCTCATTTCCCTGCCTTTTGCTTGGGCTTCAGAGACCTTGACAGTAAGCTTGTGTAATAAAACTACTCCTATTCTCAGAAAAGTTTTAAGAAAACACACACACACAGAAACTCCTGACTTGTGGGTCCCTATTTCCTCTTGTCAGAGCCCTTGCCATACTGTTATCTGTCCATAGCCACTAATGAAACTTCTAGAAAACTCCATACCCCCAACAACCCATCTCAGTGTCCTTCTTGAACCTTGCATCCTAGGCCTTTCACCTAGTATAGAATAATATGGGACATGAACTTATGGCAATATGTAATGTTTTGCAATTTGTGATAAGCAATAAAATACCTTGCATTTCATGGCTTTTTTGAAACCAAATTTTTTTTTAAATTGCTCATGTAATTGAGCTTCAGTCAATGGAAGCCTTTTCGTTCTCAGATTGTTCACGATTTCATTAATGGCGCCCCACCATTGAGTTTTATATAATTGCTGGTAGAAATTTCCAAGGTCAAAATAGATCACATAGTAGCTATAAAAAAAAAAAATAAAGAAAAGGGGTGTGTTTTATAGCTTTGAAGTAATTTGCTACTTACTTATATAATGTCAAAACTTGCCTATTCCATAATAATTACATATAGAACTATAGCTTGAATGTAAAAATAGTAGCATTATTACCAACTGTTACTGAGACTTTAGCTTGATAATTAGCCTTTTATTGACCATTTGAGTGGTTCTGTATTCTCATGACAGAGATTAAGGACACTATCTTCAAGTCACTAAAAGCCCAGGTTGTAGGAAGAAAGAGTTGTAAATTCATCTTCCACCTCTGTTTTCCTTCCTCTTACTGTTTTAATCTAATTGTGTCCATAAATTGTTTTTCTGAGGGATAATATATCTTCAGCCCAACATGGAATAAGGTTTTAGGTAATGGCTCCTTGGCTTTTACTGAATCAGTAGGCTTAAGAAACTGCCACTCTACCCTGAGACACGGGATTGAAGACCTGAAACTAACACAGGCCCTTCTGGAGCAGAGCAACGGCAAACCCTTGAATTCACTCTGTTCCACGCAGCTGTGTCCTCTCATCATTGAAGAACTTCTGCTTCCCTGAGAGGAAGCACTGTGCCTATTCTGGCAGGAATGCAGATGGTCTTAATGGAAGCACTTTGTGCCACTTGGTGTCACAGTAAGACTATATTCGGAGCCTGTGATGCCTCTACTGCCCTAGGAGTAATTGGCTGCTCAAGAAAAGACTGCTTGTACCCAGAGCTCATCTCATGAGATGATTTTGTGATATCCAGGGTCAGCTGTATAGCAAGGTAGCACTGGCCACATAGAGATGCTTATCAGAAGCACAGAAATTCCAGATGGCCCATGCATCAAAGTTAGCAGCTAGATATTTCAGCCAGGTAACCTTCATTCAAGTGCTGTGTGGTGATTTAGTATATAGCTTATTCAAACCCTAAGTGTGCTTACTAACAGGGACTTTAGGGAAGCCTCACTTTGAAACTCCCTCCCTCCATCTTCTTCTGCTTGGAAATGTGTGCCTGGCTTAGGTACTGTGGTGAGGAGCTTTCCTGACATACTTGTTTCATTAAGTAGATTTCTGACCAATTTCCCCACATGTACAACAGTATCGTGAAACTGGTATGTTCTTCTCCAAAATGGGTATTTCAGGACAGTTAATCTATTTGCTGCAATAACTGTCACCTTTAGAAGTTTCTCTACTCCTGTGGACTTCCGATTCATTCACTACCTGATTGTATTCTCACGACTTTATTCTGGTATGGTGAGAAAAGTTCACCAACACGGATTCCCAAATGCTGCACATTATTAAAAAACCAGAGAAACAGCAGCACAGTGATATCACATTGCAGTGATTGGATCTCTTACAGTTCAATAGCAGGATGCATGTATATACTGTTGCACTAAGGACAGTCTCTCATTAATATAGCTCCTCTCCCCCTGGCTTCCATGCACTGTCAGAATCAGTGATGTCCCAGAAGCCTGACAGAAGCCGAAGAATAAAATGTCTTCCATAGATGTCTCCAGGACATCATGTGGGCTGGCAAGACCTGTCTATGGAATATTTAGTGTGTGCCGAATCTTTGAGCAGGAGCTTCCTCATACAAAGAGATAATGACCCACTTAAGACACAAGATGTTTCCATGGGTTCTGCATGTGGTGAAGAGGCGCCTCCTCACACAGGTCCTCAAATATCCTGCTCTTCCTCCTTCAGAATTGTGATCACATGGTCCCTGGCTTTGCCACTAGCAAATAGACCCATCACATTTCATTCTTTGTCTTTATACTCCCTCATCCCCACGAATCTTTTCAAATTTTTATTTCTTTACAATTTTTATTTCCACCTCTTTCCATCTTATTAACTTTCCCCCACTTTACCATTTTACTTGCTGCAAATAGTATTCATAAATCACAGTCTCATTAAAATTCTCTTACCAAATCCCAGACAACTTTAGAGGGAGCTCTTTATTTTTGAGTTGTCATTTTTGATGTATTTGATGCTTTACTATTTCTATTCTTACACACAACACCATGTGCCTGCTACAATGTCACAGTCTCCTGGTTCCCTTCCTTGTAAGCTATACTCTCCCAGTCTCCTTTGCTCTCTCTCCCACGTCTCTGCTATTCCATCTTTGAAATTTCTATCCTCCAGAATTCCAGGCGTGGTCCTATTGTCTTAGCTACCTCCATGCCACCAGGGGAAACAAACAAGCAAAGAAACCTTCCTATGTGCTTTTCTTCACCTCTAGTCCAAATATTTTCTCTGAGCTCTATAACCTTTGTTTTCAAACTTCAGTATCCATGATGAAATAAAAGAACACAGTACATGAAGGTCCTACCAGCACAGGAAGAACCATACCATTTTCAGAAGATGAAAGGCATAAGCAAGGTCTGCCAGAGAGGGTTTGGAACTACTAAGACAGTCCTTATGGAAACGAAATGGTGTGTGCTATGTCTACTGCTTTTGGCTGCCCCTCAGAATTTGGTTCCCTACTCCATCCCTACTTAAGGCTTATGCTCCTCGTATGAATTAGGTGCAAGCTCTAAGGCTATTTGCAGGATCTATCAAAGTGTGTGAAGTAATAACCAGTTAGTACTCTTTTGAGTTTGTAATTCACATCATCACTGTTCTAGGATTGCCGTTCTAAAGGTTTAAACCAACTTTGCATGTTGACACTTTCTCATTTTCTACTAACATTCAGCAAGTTGTGGCTGGTTTAAATGGAAAACTCCTCACCTCTTTCCATAAAACTCCATAACCGGTACTGAGTAAAATTCTTTGTATCCCGAATCTTCTGCAAAGGTATTAGCAGCACACTCTCGTATTTTTTCAATATTTTCCTAAAATACAAATCACACATTTAAAAAAATCCTTAAGCAAACTTAATAATTATGTTTCTTTATATGAAATTTTATACATGTAAATGAAAAATAATTTCCCAGAGAAATCTGATAATTGTGTATATCCAATTCATACTTTGAGAATAAATAAGAAAAAGAAAATATATTATCACTATGATATTATATAATACACACCAGACAGACAGACAAGAAAGGGCACTGAGGTGTATGACACCACCAGGTTCCTGATGAGGGGTCAGTCTTCTCAAACTCAAGACTGTCTTTTTTCTTTTCATATTTGAAAAATGTGGATGGATTAGCATAAGCGTTCAGGAATGAATCTATGTATTTGTTTATTTTTCTTTTTTCTTAATGAAGTCATCTCTGATGTGTGGCTGGTTGGCTTTGGACTCATGATCCTCCGCCCTGTTGGGATTTCAGGTATGTGAACTCATGATCCTCTGCCCTGTTGGGATTTCAGGTATGTGGACTCATGATCCTCTGCCCTGTTGGGATTTCAGGTATGTGCACTCATGATCAGCCATGTGTGGGTTTCTATTGTGTACTTTAGCTAACTATCCAAAGACAAACACTGCTCATTTCAAATCTGTAAATTCTGTGATGAAAATAACTGTGTCTGGTTTGTTTACCAGCTAATTTTCCAAGACAGTTGCTCAGAGGTAGCTGCACTCAATTCATGTTTGTTTCAATAATGCATGAGAAAAGATAGTGACCTGTGAGAATAATTGTCTAGAGACCTGTCTGGTGTCTAACAAGTCACTCTTTTTCAGTGAAAACTTATCTAAACAGCAGAAAGAACAAAACATCTCAGAAATACGAATAATTCAGAAACCTTAAAGTCATCCAAAGCACTCTCAACTGGATTCGTGCTGATATCAAATTCAATCCCTCCGTGAACATGAAAATATTGATTTTCTTTGTAGTCAAAATTCTGGCATTTAAAATCTCGTCCATAAATAAACGGAGGCAGTTCTCTCTCTGTCTTGACCTTGTCATCTCCAGAAATAAAAACAAATTATAATTTAAAATGTGAACACATCGATGAGTGTATTTTAGGTATCTAATTATCCTTCATGTAAACAAAGTGAAAAATCCATATGAAATTAAAATTTGGCAATTAGTGACTATGAAAGTATTTATTTTCTCTTCCTCACTCTATACATGCACATACACAAATACACACACACACTTGTGGTACCAGAGACTGAACTCAGAGCCTAGCACACACAATAGCTTGTCACTGAGCTATATACCTAGCCATGTTTCACCATGTGGCCTAGGATAACTTTGAATTTAGGTTAGACTTGAATTTGTGATCTTTTTGCCTTTGTTGTGAGTAGATAGGACTTGAGGCATATGCCATCAGGTCCACACAAAGATAGATAGATAGATAGATAGATAGATAGATAGATAGATAGATAGATAGACAGATACACACCTATGCATTTCATTTTTTATAAGATTTATTTATTTATTATGTATACAAGTGCCCACATGTGAGCCTTCTGGGCAAAATAGGGCATCAGACCACATTATAAATGGTTCTGAGCCACACTGTGGGTGCTGGTAATTAAACTCAGGACCTTTGGAAGAGCAGCCAGTGTTCTTAACCTCTGAGTCATCTCTACAGCCCTATGTATTTCATTTTTTAAATAAAAAAATATTTTATGCAGTTTGAACATTTCTTGTGGTTTCACTATATAAACATTTCAAAAGCATTATCAAAATATTCTGATTGATGTTTATGGGTAAATATTAACATATAATTCCTCAATTATTGTAAATGAAATTCTGATTTTGATAACATACTTAAACAATGACAACAAAAACTCCGTTGAGCTACTTTAGGCAAAAGTGACACCCAATAAATAATTAAGTAGGTATACCATTTTTCTTAGTCAGTGATCTATTGTTGTACAGAAGCATCATGATCACAGCAACTCTTACAAAGAAAACATTTATTTGGGGCTTGCTTAGAGTTTCAGAGGTTTAGTCCACAGCATTGCAGAAGCACAGAGGCATGCAGCAGACATGCTGCTGGAGAAGTAGCTGAGAGTTCTCTATCCAGATCCATAAGCAGCAGAAAGAGACACTGGGGCCTGGCTTGAACTTTTGAAACCCCAAAGCCCATCTCAGTGACACACTTCCTCCAGCAAGGCCACACCTCCTAATCCCTCTCAAGTAGTACCACTCACTGATGACCAAGGATTCAAATACATGAGGCTATGGGGGCTATTCTTAATCAAGCCACCACACTAGTTGATTAAAAAAAAAAATCAGCTTTTATTACTGGAAAGTAATGAGAACATACATACTACTTTTTAAAAAAATGATTTTCTAAAACTTCCAGCAACAATAAGGCTTATGTTTGCTTATTTTCATACCGGAAAAAGGTGGAAGGAGACTATTTAAATATGGAACTTTCATCTTCTTTTTTAAACCGAGTAAAAATGGAATCAGAAAACATATTAACTTCAGATAGCCTATTCCTCTTCTGATTTCTTTTTTTTTCTCAAAGTGTTTTTGAATAACTTTTTTCTGAAGATACAGTCTTTGTTGTAGTCTCTGATAAGTGCAAATATCAAGATAATCCTGATTGCACTTTATAGCATTAGTAAGCCAATAAGATGTCTCAAAAATAAAGACGTTTTCATGCTGTTGAATTTGTGTGGTACTGAATGTCATCTTTAGCATAATATTCTCAGCATATTTCATAAATTCAGCCTTTTCTTCAGGGCTATTGGGATCATATGTTGGATCTTCATTCATGTCTTCATCATAGATTCCACTAAAGTCTGGATCATTTGTAATATCTACTAAACCTTCACAGAAAGAAAAATAAAGAAATGGAATCAATTATTCTGTAAATATTAATTAATGCTGGTTATTAATACAGCAGCATTTATTCTTTAACCTGCTGTTTTATAAATAAAAGACACAAGTTTCTGTGTCTTTTATTTATAAAACAGCAGGTTAAAGAAAATTTAAGCCTTAGAGCTCTACAGCTGGGCACATAATTAGCCAGCTAAGCTATCTTGCCTGCTTCCCATCTAAAATTCCAAATACTTGCACATGTTCCATTTGGGCTGCCCTGCTTCATCAGGCTAATCCTCAGAGAAAGCTGCTTTTGGCCATGTGCTCTTGGTTACACCGTGGTGACCTCCTTTCCTTCTTCTTGGGAGGCAAAGTTTACACAAGATCATTTTGGATACATATAATTTGTTCTGAGGGCAGTAAGGATCATCAGGGGGCAATCAACTAACATTTGAATATAGAGTAGCTCCAGCTCAACCCAGAAAGAAGAAAGAAAGAAAGAAAGAAAGAAAGAAAGAAAGAAAGAAAGAAAGAAAGAAAGAAAGAAAGAAAGAAAAAGAAGGAAAGAGAGAGAAAGAGAAAGAGAAAGAAAGAAGAGAGAAATAGGTAGTAAGAGAAAAGAGATAAGGAAATGTACTATTGCATTTTCTGGGCAAGACGTAGCTGTTGCAATCATGATCTCCAGTTGTGGATGCCTCCACTGGGTTTACACAAAAGTGTGCCCCTCAGTAGTCAAGCGAAGATGAGGGCCTTGGGATCACCTTCTTCTAACTGCCAAACTCGTAGCTAATAACAGATTCACGAAAAAGGAGAGTTGTGACCTTCAGTTGTATACCCACTGCTGATTACACCAGGCTCCAATTTTTACACAAATGACCTGGTTAAACAAAGTGGGTCACAAAGTAAAACCAAAACTCATAAATCTGAGAAAGGGGATGGCAGAGAAGGGGATATTGATAGGATGAGAGGGAGTTAAGGGTTAGGGAAATGAATGCAAGGGCATCATACACAAGAATAAAATTGTCAAGGAACAGGCTGTCTCCAACACCAGGCCTATCCCTAGGCACATATCCTATGTACCTTCCCAGCCTAGTGAGTCTCCCAGACCCTTTTTGTCTACATCATTCCAAACCTTAGGCTTATCCCTACTTGCACATCCCAGGTGTTGGCCCAACCTGACAGTTCCATGAACCCTCACCTTCTCTCATTGCCCACAATTTTCAGGCATACTCCAACTGAAATGCCTGTGTGCTGTAATGACTTGATGAATGCCCAGTATCTCAGACCATCCATGCCATCTTACATTTCCAAGCACATCTCAGGTAGTATACCTTGCACACTAGCCTGAGCAGATGTGGTCATTGTCTCATATGTACACTTGCTTGGTTATCACTGAATGAGAACCACCACCCCCCCTTCGCCAATCTGAAATCAGCACTACCTGAAGAGTTTGACCTACTATTTCCTCATGTCATCTGATCTGATGACTTGGGCAACAACAGAAACAAAACAAAACTTCAACTCAACAGAGGCAGCCTAGAATCTCACATCAGACATACAACCCAAAAAAGAAGTCTATATGCCCAGGTCACATCACAAAAACACAAACAGTACAAAGGATCAATACAGTATGTCTCCTCCAAGATCCACTAGCCCTATAGAAATGTCCTCCAATGAAAATTATCCAAATGAACTCTCAGGACATAGAATTAAAAAAAATCTTAAACATGATCAGAGAATTCAAGTTTAAAGCAGACACAAATAGCTCAGTAAACTTAAAGAGAATAGAAATAAACTCCTGAATCATGTCCAAGAAAGCATAAATACATTGCTAAATGAGATGACAAAGAAAATTCAGATTCTATAAACTGAATTCAGTAAAGAAGATGATGGAAATACTGAAAAAAATTCAAGCTAAAATTAAGATACAATGGAAAAACTCAAGAACCCAATTAAACTTAGGGGAAAGCTTTGCCATTAGAACAGATAAAGTAGAAGATAAAGTATTAGGACTAAAGATAGAGCAGAGGAATCATAACCCAACTCAACCCTTACTCTAGCCACATGAAAGTCACATGAAAGAAATCTACAGGAAATTGGGATACTAAAAAGACTAAATTTATGAATTGTAAGCAAAGATGAAGGAACAGAATCTTCAACAATGTCACAGAAAAACACTTCCCCAAATTAAGGAGACATATCCATATAAAAACATAAGACCAGGAAAGAAATGCTTCATATCATATCATAGTTAAAGCACTAAATATACAGAATAGAGAGAGCATATTAAACAGAAAAATCACAAGTCATATATAAAGGAAAGCATATCAGAAGAACAGCTAACTTCCCAATGGAAACTCTAAAGGCCAGAAAAGCTTAGACTCATGTACACTAAGTTCTAGCAGACCAAGGTGAAAACCCAGACACTTTACCTGCCAAAACTATCAGCTATCATTGAAGGAGAAAGAAAAAACTTTCTAATGATAAACAAGCTAAAAGAATTCGTATCTACCAAACCAGCTCTACAGCAAATAGTGGAAGCAATGCTACATACTAGAGAGAGGAATAAGTAAAGCTGAAAGAATGTATAAAGAAAACAAATGAGGCTATAATTACTGAAACATAAACTACGATTAAGAACACAAACAACAAAACAAATAAAATTCACAATAAAATGATTGCAGTCAACACAAAAATTTCAAAAACATCTTTAAAAGCCAATGTCCTCAACTCCACAATGACACAGCTTAGATGAAAAGATGAGACATGAAATCCACTTTCCTTTCACTGTTGCAACCGCAGCATGCTCAGGCTTTAGGAGAGGCTTGCCTCTGATATCCTCTGCTATGGTAAAATGAAGTTCTGGTTGGACTTCAATGAGATATAAATGAGAAATGCCAATGCCAACTCTCCAGTGCCAACTCTCGACAGCAGACCCAGAAGCTGATCAAAGATAGGCTAATCATCCAGAAGCTGTGACTATGCATTTCTGGGCTTTATGTCAGAAAAACAGCTTGGGACAATGGAAGGGTGGGCATTGGGGCATAGGGAAGAGAAGGGGTACTGCCAATGCTCCAGTGCTAGAGAACATGCCCTGAATGAGAAGGATGTGAATCCTGTGCTGGCTTCTCTCAGGAGATACTATGAATCTTTATGTGTATCACAACATATACCTGAAGGTCAAAGGAAATGTAAAAAACAAAACAAAACAAAAACAGATCCCATGGAGCAAATCCACAAGCTGACGGCACACAAGGCCTGCAAGAAGCTCCTGGCTGGCCAGGCTGAGGCTCGTAGGCCTAAGACCAAGGAAGCACAAAAGCTTCAGGAGGAGCACATCCAGCCCAAGGAGGAGGAAATCATCAAGACTGCCCAAGGAAGAAGACACCAAGAAATAAAGCTTCCCTTGTGTCTGTTTTATTTTAATGACTGATCATGAGGCCTGGCTCTGTGGTAGCATATGGATGAATCATTAAAATAAAACACGCCTTAAAAGAAAGAAAAGAAAGAAAACCCATTTTCCTGTTGTCTACAAGAAACTGACCTTAGATTTAAACATAGTCACCACATTAAAGTAGAGAGATTGAGAAAAAATAATTCAAGCAAATGAGACCAGGGAGCAAGCAGGTGTTGCTTCCTGGTATCCTAGTATCTGATAAAGTAGATTTAAAACTAAAATGAATCAGAAGACATGTCATTCTAATCAAGGAATAATTAATAAAGATCACATTATAATCCTAAACATACATGCAACAAACTCTAGTGCACCCAATTTCACTCACACACACAAACACACACAAAGGTGTACTACAGGAATTAAAGACAAAGATTAGCTCCAACTCAAAATTAGGAGGTGATTTCAATATCCCACTTCCTCCAATAAACAGACAAAACATCTGGACAGAAACTAAACAGAAAAACATCAGAACTAAATGACATCATACTTCAAGTGGACCTAAAAAGATATATATAATATTTTAACAAAACACCAAAGAATATACATTCTACTTAGCAGCTCATGGAAACTTCTTTAAAATAGGTCACCTACTTGCACAACAACTAAATCTTACCAAATTTAGAAAAACTGAAATGACTCTGTTTTATCTTATCACAATTCAATAATAGTTGAAATCAATAGCAAATGAATCTCTAGCAGTTTCACAAATGCATGGATATTAAAGAACATATTGCTAAATGGTGAATGTATCAAAGAAGGAATAAAGAAATAGGACTGAAGAGCTGGCTCAGTCGTTAAGAGCAACAGTTGTTCTTACCCAGGACCTGGGTTCAGTTCCCAGCACCCTTGTGGCAGCTCACAACCATATGTAACTCCATTCCTAGGGGATCTCTCATTCTGCTCATACCTCTGTGGACAGCAGGCACAAATGTGGTCACATGAATACATGCAGGCAAAGCACTTATATATAAAATAATAAATAAATCTAGTCTTTCCAAGAAATTAGTAAAAAAAATTTTTTTTTAATTCCTGGAACTAAGAGAAATAAAAACCCAATAATCTTATAGCTCTAAACTCCTACATTAAGAAACCTGGGGCAGGGGGAACCACAAATAAATGGCTTAATGATGCAACTCATGAATTTGGGAAAAACAAGAACAAATTAAGCCCAAACACAACAGATGGCAAGAAATAATTTTAAAAATCAGTGCAGAAGTTAATGAGTAAATGCAAAAGAAACAATGTAAAGTAAAAACAAATCTAAGAGGTAGTTCTTTGAAACGATAATCACGATCAACAGACCATTAGCACAATTAACCAAATGAAAGAAAGAGGAGACCCAGGTTAACAGAATCAGAGATGAACAAGGAAATCCTACAACATATAACAAAGAAATCCAGAACATTGTAATGTTCTGGATTGTAATACCTTAAAAACCTCGACTCCATTTGAAGTTTAAAAAAAATAATCTAGAAGAAATTAATAAATTCTAGATTCACCCAAATCACTAAGGTTAAACCAAGAAAGAGCAACAACTTAAAGAACTATTTATTGCAAACAGACTGAAATAGTAAAAAAGACCAGGCAGGAGCAATTGAATTCACAGCATTATTCTTTCAGACTTTTAAAGACCTACAACCAATACTTCTTAAATGATTCAAAAAATAGAAACAGAAGACACTCCCCCCACACTCCTTCGATGAAGCCAGTATTACCAAACCAGGTAAAGAACAACAAAAAAGAAAAATTCAGGCCAATATCCCCAATGAACATAAATTCAAAACTTTTCAATAAAATATTCAGGTGTATATTGAAATTCATATACCAAAAAGATCATCCACCACTAAATCATGATGATTCTGTCCTAGAAACACATGGATGGTTCAACACATGTAAGTAAATAAATATAATAAACGATGTGAATGGAGTTACAGAAAAAAAATACAAAAAAGGCCTTTGAAAATTAACATCCTAACAAAAAGCATTTTATAGATTCAGTACAATCCCAGTCAAACTCCCGATGACATTCTTCACAAAAATAGGAAAAAATCCTAAACTGCAAGAGATCCTGGGGAGCTAAAGCAGTCTTGAACAAAAATAGAATGTTGAAAGTATATCATTCCAGATTTTAAGCTGTGGCTATAGCAATAAAATTAGCACGGTCAGATGGGAATGGTGGTGTACATCTTCAATCCCGGCACTCAGAGAGGCAGAGGGAAGCAGATCACTGTGAGATCAAGGTCAGCCTGGTCTACAAAGTGAGTCCAGGACAGGCAAGGCTACACAAAGAAACACTATCTTGAAAAATAAAACCAATAAAAAATGTAAAAGTAAATCTACCATATGACCCATCTATGCCACTCCTTGGTATATGCCCAAAGGACTCAATATCCTACCCTAGAGATACTCAACCATGTTTATTTACAATAGCTAGGATGTGGTAACAACCTAAATGTCTATTAGTTGATGAATGGATAGTAAAAGAAAAAAAATGTGGTACATATGTTACAGTAGCATTCTGTTTAGCTAAGCTGTCAAGAAAAAAAAAATGAATTTTGCAGATAAATAAATGGAACTGGCAACTGTTATGTGTGGGTAACTCGGACACAGAAAAGAAGGCTGTGTGTTCTCTCATGTGCAGATCCTGGCTTGGAATCTTTTGATCTGAGTATACAACTTGAAGTATTAGTAGAAGCCAGGAAAGTACAAAAGCGCTATGGAAGGGAAGGGGAGAAAAGGAGTTCCAGGAGACTAGTAGGGGACATGTATAATGGGGAATGTGTGTGTGGGGGGGGGATTCTTAACTGAGGAAGGGATGAAGAGAGAGATAACCCTAAGAATATCTTAAAAAGCCACAGGGTAACATTATAAGCTTACCTAAAGTATATAATGTATGTAGATATATGTGTGCATATATATATATATATACATATATGGTTATATGTATGTATATCATATATGATAATTTGCATGTATATAATATATGATAATACTTCCTCTAAGAACCATGTGTGATCACAGAAGGACTTATGTACATATGCAGCATGAACAGGGCCTACACAGGTTCAAACCAGATGGGGTTCCAGATGGGGTCCCAGAGAGGGGGAAGTGGACATGAGCTCTGTCTTATAACCAAAAAGCTATCTGTAACTGATACCTCCTAGCCTGGTATGTTGGAGCATGCCTTTAATCCCAGTGCTTGGGGAGACAGAGGGGAGACAGTGCTTGTGAGTTTGAGGCCAGCCTGGTCTACAAAGCAAATCCAAGACATCCAAGGCTACACAGAGAAACCCTGTCTTGAAATACCAAAAAAACAAAACAAAACAAAACAAAACAAAAACAAAAACAAAAAAACAACCAAACAAAAACCTGGTACCTGCTTGCATAGGAGAAAGTGGCTGGCAGGACTACCTTGACAGGCCGTGGAGGAAGAGGATATGTTCAGTCCTGATGCAACATATTGAGCTAGGGTGGATGGGAAAGGGAGCTCCCCTTTTCTGAAGAAAAGGGCAGGGGGAGGGAGGGGAAAAGAGGGTGGGACTGGAGGAGGAAGGGGCTACAAGGATGTAAAGTGAATAAAATAAGTGAGAAAAAATAGTTGAGAGATGCTAAACTCTCTTACCTGCTGAATTAAACTCAGAAAATATATCTTTCATTGTTTGAGGCTTCCCATCTGGATCAATGTCCAGGATTGTGCGCCACAGTTCAGAGAAACGAGTTCTTTTCTCTTTGGGCATGTAGATTCCATGCCACAATGCTTTTAGCATATAGTCAATATGGATCAAAATTTGTCCAATTCTGGTATCATAATAAGCTGGAGGTAATTGACAAGAAGAACTCTGATCATAATTAGCTTCTAAACTGATTGAAGGGATTTGATTTAAGCAATAAATTCCAACAGCTAACTCCCGTAAGATCTGATGAACTTCCCTGTAGTCTAATTGGGCAGTAGGGTCCACAGGAGTCAACAGGATAGCAGTGGAGAAGCCTACATTATTTATTTGATTCATGAGTCCACACGGGATATCTACTTGAGAACGAACATCATCCTTGGCAGACAACCAGCTGACTAGAGCTGTTGCTAATAATTCTTGCACTTCACTGCGATCGTATTTTTCAAAGAAAGCAGAGGCATTTCTTTGCACTGCTAAATTTTCCAGGAAGGTTTCTTCATCTTGAACTTGTTCAAATCTAGGTAACCCTTTTTTTGTTAGCTTTAACATTTCTAATTAAATCTAGTTTGTCCTTTTTGAAGTTTCTGCAACAAAGGAAAAGACAATGTTTGTCATGGAAATGAAACTGGATTTTTCTAGAATATGAACTTTTCATCATTCTAAAGTTAATCATTTCAAGGTCAATCGGTACTTTTTTCAATCTCCAATTAATTGCATCACAAGAAACAAGCTCGGATTTTCAGTCAAAATTTACTGAGAAATCCTCAGGGCTATACAACATTTTGCCAACAAGTGACCACATAGATCATGGTCTCATAAGATTATATATAACATCTTAGTTTGTGTGAGAACATTCTACAATGTTTATACAGTGATGAAATAGTTTGACACACTTCCCATATATTGCTGAGATAAACAGAAGAACCTGTTGAGGAAAGGATTTATTTCATTTCCAGGGCTCAAGCCATCATCAGTGGGAAGCCAAGGCAGGAACTTGAATGCAGGAACTAAGCAGAGATCACAGAGGAACACTGCTTACTGGCTTGCTATTTCAAGCTTTCTCATTTTGCTTTTTTTATACACCCACGACCGTGTACCCAGGAATGGTGACACCCCAGGAGGCGGGCCCTTTCCATCCAGTCTCAGATATGCTTAAGATCTTTTTCTTAAATGACCTTAACTTGTGTCACTTGGCAAAAAAGCTAACCAGAACGAGATGTGGCCGTATTTTAGAAAAACGTTAAGTTTGTATTTGAAAGCTACTACTGTGTACTATATTCTTCATTGTAAAGATTTTTCTCCCTCCCTCTTTCCCGCCCCCTTACCCACTTCTTTCCCACACTTCCTTCCCACCTAGAAGCTCCTGAGGCCTGCCTGCTCTCCCCCTCTTCCCTGCTAATCTGAGTTCTTCCTCCCACTTCCCCATTAGGGTTCAAGCAATTGAACGCTGCTTTCACAATAATAACTATTACTCTTTTTCTGAGCATCTATGATTTGCACATATAAAACATAGTACTTTACTTATTTAATGTCATCATTATACAATGATTTAAAATAATTTTAGTCTGCACCAAAATAATTTAGACCTTCTTAAAGTACCTGTTTCTGGATCACACAGGGCTAGGGCAGAAAAACTGTATTTTGTAGTTAATGCTGACACTGCATACAGAATCCAGTTTACGAGGGTATTTTTCTGCTACTTCATAGATGCCGACCTGTAAATTTAGGAGATTACAGAGCATGATTAGAGTTCAGTTTTCAGAACCAGAACCCTGATCCAAGACTTGTGACCATAATCAGTTAGCAGCAACCGCCAAAGATATGGAAAGGGACAAAGAAATGGAAAAGGCCTATTTAGAAATGCTGTTCCTGTCTAGAAGAGGGCTAAGGTATTCCTAGGAGCAGACAGCCGTTGCTTGGAATGGCTTTTCGGTGGTCCTGAATCGCCCCACCAAAACCCCAGAGCTCGAAATGTTCAGAGAAGCTGGGGGAGTGTCTTTCCTGTGCTATGGGCCAAGGCTGATGAGAACTCCTGGGAAGCCCCAGAGCCTGGCAAAGCTGTCCCTAGCGCCTCCCTCAGGGAGGCTGCCCCTTAGGCTGAGCATGTGCACGGGCTGCGGCTGGGGAGACCTTTGAACTTACTGCCCCAGGCCACAGGCTTGCTGTTGATCCCATGAGGACAGGTCCACTAACCTTTTCTCTGTAGATCTCAGCCCAGCCCCATGCTCTGTCTTGGCTACCTTGAACTTGCTTATAAAGAAAACAACAGAAACTCTGGGTGGCACCGGCCAGTGCCAGGCTCTGAAGCTCTGTCTGGAACACTATTGTGCAACAAACGTTTACTGAACATCAATTATGAGCCAAGTATCATGCCAGAGGATGGAGACCACCGCTCCAGGGAAAACGGCAAAACCCCAAGTGCTTGGCAATGTGGTGTAAGGTGTTGACAGCACCAAAAAGAACGTTCATCCAGATGCCTGTGGAATGACTTTTAAAATTAGTCTGGAAAATAAAAGTTATACACCCAAATAATGGCTGCAATTGCTCTTCTGGGAAAGAGTGGTGTTGCAAGTTTGAGAAAACAAACCACTGCACTGAAATCGAGGGACGAGGGCACAAAATGAACAGGTAAAATTGGGTGAGGGGCAGTTCGCGATCTTGAATTTATCAGAGATATAACCGGGCTAAGGTGTTAACAATGGCTGTCAGGTGTAGGCTAGTGTGGTAACAGTGGTGATGAGAGCGGAATGCTGGGATATTTGAGGTGGGCTATTGGTAGCACATTATAGGGTTTCGATGTGCTGAAAAAAAAATTAGGGTGACCCCTGGGTTTCTATCAGTGGCAAGAGGGTGTCAAAATGATTCAATTCAGCTGGGAACATAATTCCCCTTAAAGTACCAGAAAAACAAAGAAATGTCAGGCATATCTTTTAGGTATCAGACGGAATTAAAAACAGCAGCTGGGGTGAGACATATAAATTCATGTAGCTTAAAGTAACTGAAGCCAGAGGAGGGGTTGAAATCACCAAGGGAGACCATACTGTTAACATTCAGGACAGAAGCCTATGAAATTTAACATTTAAAGGTCAGTTGGAGAGGGGAATCAGGGCTATGTAATATTACTCAGCAATTAAAAACAAGGAAATCATGAAATCTGCAGGCAAATGGTGGGAACTAGAAAAGATCATCCTGAGTGAGCTATCCCAGAGGCAGAAAGACACACATGGTACATACTCATTTATAAGTAGATTTTATACATATAATATAGGATAAATATACTAAAATCTGTACACCTAAATAAGCTAAGCGAGAAAGAGGGCCCTGGGTAAGATGCTCAATCTTCATTCAGAAAGACAAATAGGATAGAAGGTGAAAACAAGGAACAAGACAGGAGCCTTCCACAGAGGGCTTTTGAAAGACTCTACCCAGCAGGGTATTAAAGCAGGTGCTGAGACTCATAGCCAAATTTTGGGCAGAGTACAGGGAATCTTATGAAAGAGGGAGATAAAAGACCTGGAAGGGTCTGGAGCTCCACAAGGAGAGCAACAGAACCCAAAGAACCTGGGCCTAGGGGTCTTTTCTGAGACTGATATTACTCCAACCAAGGATCAATCATGGAAATAACCTAGAACCCATGGACAGAGGTAGCCTGTGGCAGCTGTCTTCAAATGGGCTTCCTAGTAAGGGGAACAGGGACTGTCTCTGATATGAACTCAGTGGCTGGCTCTTTGATTACCTTCCCCTGAAGGGAAAACAGCCTTACCAGGCCACAGAGGAAGACTATGAAAGACAGTCCTGATGAGATCTGATAGGCTATGTTCAGATGGAAGGGGAAGAGGTCCTCCACTATCAGTGGACTGGGGAAGAGGAATGGGAGGGAGGGAACAAGGGTGGGGCTACAGCTGGGATAAAAAGTGAATAAATTGTAATAAATTAAAAAAAATATATTTAAAAAAGGAAGAGGGGTCCAGGGAGGAGAGGGAAGGAGGAAGGGGAGAGAAGAGGAAGGAAGGGGAGGAGAGAGACAGAGAGAAAGGGAGGGAGAGAAGGGGAGGGGAGAGAGAGGGAGAGGAAAGGGAGAGAGAGAAGGGAGAGAGAGGGAGGGGAGAGGGAGAAGGAAGAGAGGGAAAGGGAGAGAATGAATGCAGTTGTACATTTAGAGGTGGTTGGGGTCAGCAGAAGACAAAGAAGGAATAGCCCAGAAGAACAGAGGAGAGCTACAACTCTCAGAAGCCAATGAATCTGTTTCATAAGAGAAGGGCTTGGACAACTTTTGTTAGTTGCTGCTGCCTGGTCAGAGGAAGTTTAACTGTCCTTGAATTTTTCATTGAGCAATGAAGTTATTAATTGTAGGCACTATGCATGAAACTTCATTTACCAGGAACTCAGGCACAGGAAAGCCTGTCAGGCTAGTCTGTCAGCCTCCTAACAATTCTTTACTTCAAATGAGAGGATCACAAACCTGTCAGCCCACAGATTCCCAACAGTAATATTACAAGGTGATTAATAGCTCAAGAGTGTAGGAGTGATACTGAGCTGTGGTGACATCTTGATGGGGTAGGCAAGAGCTGGTCAGATTGCTATCAGTTTGATACACAATACAGTGACAGAAACAGCCATTTGATGGGTAAATAACCATTTCCGTTTTTAGTGTAAAGAAAGTAACAATATACTTCTAGTCATAAGCAAGCTGGAAATCATAATGCAAATACACATCAGGCTATGACTCCAAGGAAACCAATTCTATCGGCACCTTTGCTTTTGGACTCCCACTCACCAGAACTTCCACTTAGAACTCTGATAGAGTTCTGGTGCTGTGCAGCAAAAACAGGTCTTGGGTAATTAACTCATCTGTGAATGGTTAAGAATGGGACAAGGAAAATTGGGGGACCAGAGAACGTTTAAAGGAATTCTTTAAAAGTAGGAAAATGAGTAGTGACAAGTGTATTAAGTCTCAAAAATATAAAACCCAAATTGCTTGTTTCTCAAAATTTTAGTTCTGGAATCGTCAAAGCCCAAGCTGAGGTTCTTGAAGATAACAGCAAATTTAGTTATTTGTGGATACAGCTCCTATGAAGACTGTGAGCAAACAATCTGTCCACATTTCTACAGGACATTGGGTTTCCCCCACAGCCTGTATCTGAGTATTACCCGGAGCTCTGTAATCTAACTCAGTTCTGACATTGTCTACCAGGAGTCAGTGTCAGGTCCCAGTTTAAAGAGCTCAGTCCTACAAGATTGGCACTTCAAATGCCCAGTACAAGTCAGGGCCTCTGCTCCTCTCCAGGCTTTTAGAAGTGAGCTCTCTCTCATACAAGCCCCTCCCTCTGCAGTGTTAATAGTGTGCTTACAGAACTCAGGAATTTACACTCAGAATGATTTAACACAGGAATAACCAGATGGAACACATGTGAAAGCGATCTTCCATGCCCTCTTTGCAATTCCATCCAAAGGCCCTGTCGCGTATTCGCAAACTGGAACTCAAGTCCTTAAAGAGCCTGATACTGCTTCACCTCCAGCCCACTTCACCCCCTTTCTCAGTTGAAATTTCCAGAAATACCAATTATAACCCTGTACATATGTAGGCTTTCTTCTGAGAACTCCAATGCTGAGGGCATCTAGAAAACCCACCCAACTCAGCTCATATGCCTGATCAAAAGAAGCTTTCACAGGAAAGTAAAAATTCACACAATAAACTGAAAGCACAATAAGGCAGTAGTTGTTTATTTTTACATAACTGTCACAAAATGTTGTTACATGGTAGAATCATATTATGATGTAATCATGAGAGGTTTTTTAATGTAGAATTTGGAGTCTTCCACATTTAAAAAATTTCTTACAATTGATTCACTTGTATCCCGAGTCTTTCACATTTATCAGATGCTTTCTCATTAGTTTTTTCCAGTTTTGCAATTCTAGATCCAAACTGTATGGCCCGTTTTGGCAGACAGGCAGAGGCTGGGAGACCAACTTCCATAGCTGCAAGGCGTAAAATGAGCTTCTCACCAATTCCACGAGGCAAAGTCAGGTCTACCTTTTCCCAAACTGGCAAGGAATTTAGGAAAGACACAACATTCTCATCCAGGAAAGGAAATCTAAAATTCATTAAAAAAATTGTCAGTGATTACTATTAAAAAAATAAAGTCTGTTAATGATATTTACATATTTTAATGGCTAAAATTAAGCCACACAGAAAAGATATTTTAAAATGTGGCAATTTTATATACATTAAATAATCTAACTCTAAATAAATTAGTTGTCTATGATATTAAGATATAATTTCAAGTTGTTTCATAGTATCTTTGAAGATGGCCCTGGTATATTCATGAGATCCTTAATAACCTAACTTATGTCTGATTTGAGCATGTCTACAGAAACTGAATGTTGAGTAATATTCTACCCTTTTGCTTCTTTTTCCTTTTCTTCAACCCTTGATGCTTTTTTTTTTCATATTCATATTATTTATCATAAAACAAAGTCTTGAAAAACAGAACAGCAATGACAATACAATCTGGACTAGCACTGGCAACCTATGAAGAACTGGGTGAACACAATCCTAACAATGGGTCGAGAGCATGAAATAAAGGTGCAGACAATTCTCAGACAGATAGAGGGAGGTAAGTGTACTATGATGTCCCTGTTCTCATGAGGCTTATATGATCTTCTGCTGAATCCCTTCAAGGAAATGCCACTTACCAGCTATTCAAACAATTTCACTCATTTTTACTTTTAAGACAGGGTTTTGCTATATAACCCAGGCCTTGACCTCATGATTTTCCACTCTGCCTGCTGAATGTAAACCATCATACCTAGCTCCATAGTCCTACTCTTCATACCATTACATCTCTTTTCATCCTTAATGTTTAAAATGCTGAATTTAAGTATGTCTTTACTATCACCAGAAGAAATGTTGTAGGTAAAAATAAACCCATGATTTAAAAAGCATACACGAAAGTGCCTTGGTCTCTGTGAAGATTCTGGCCATCTACAACAAAAACATGTTTAAAAACAAAAACAAACAAACATGCAAAAGACTGGAATCCAGGACTGAGACCTCCACAGACTACTACAGGAGACATGCCTGCATAGACAGAACAAAATCCTACAACATGGGAGGAGAAACTCATGGTGGGTTTGTGGTGTAAAACCAAACTCTTAAACTGCCTGTACTTGGAAATATATCATCCTGCTTTCACTTCTATAGTCTTGTTTACATTATGGTCCTAAAAAGATTTAACATTCTATCACCTTAGAACATGACTGCAAAGTTGCTTATTAGGAAGCAATTGCTCAAGCTGGACATGGTGGTATGCGCTTTTAATCCCAGTACTCAGGGAGGCAGAGGCAGGTGGATCACTGTGAGTTGGAGGGTAGCCTGGTCTACAAAGTGAGTCCAGGACAGCTAAGGCTATACAGAGAAACCCTGTCTCAACCAACCAACCAACCAACCAACCAACCAACCAACCAACCAACCAACCAACCAACGAATCAACAAAGCAAAAGCAACTCCTCCCTGGCTCCTTCAGCTTTGCTCTGGCCTGTGTTTATAACATAAAGCTGGGATAGAGTGTCAGTGCTCCTGTTTAGCAAGGGACCAGTATCCAAGGAAAAGTAGCGTAAAGTCTCCTTTTGTAGTTTTACTAAAAAAGCATTCAGTAATGAGTTACCTTGCTTCTTTTCCATGATCACCAATAACTCTGTCATCACGACCAAGGTTTCTAGAAGAAATGCGACCCAGTTCCATTTGTATTTCCTCATTCAATCCTTCTAGACCATGGGACTGAAAGCGGACACGATGACGGGAGTAACCTGCCAGCTGCTCATCTGCACCAATTCCTGTGAGAATCACCTATATAGAAGATCAAAGGAAGTCAGAGACTGGATAAAGAGGACAGAGAATATATGGTCTATTTTCTCATAAAGCCTAAAAAGTTATAGCCCTAACATTTTTAGAAGGAAAATCAGAAGAAAATAGCCAAAAAAAAAAAAAAAACAACAAAAAACAAAACAAAAAAACCCAAAAAACCAACCAAACAAACAAACAACAACAACAAAACAATATACACTGCATTAGAAAGTGTAACTAAAATACAGTATTAGCTTGCAACCTTAAATGTTGAAAGCATCAGTTAAAATTAGGTCTCCGCAATCCTGAGCAAGTTACAGAGTATACCTTTGCACTGCTCTTGTAAGATCTCACAGCATCCTGGGTCACCAACCAACCAATTCCTCTGGAAGCAAACCAGACAGCACAACCAATGCTGTCATCCAGAACTGTGTCCAACGGCTGAACTAAGTGACATATTCGAGTTCTTCTTAGTTTCTGTAGTTCTTCCAGAGAAACATTAATTTCAACAAAATTCCAAATTCGAGAAGGGCTAACAGACTGGAGTTCCTTTAGTCCTGCTTTTCCTGTGACTCGGTCTGGCACTTCAGCATCATCAGGATCCTGAACCACAGCACTACTCTGAGAGGGCTTTTCAGAAGGGATGTCATGGGGGTTTTGCTGTTTTCTTCCGATGTTAGGAATAGGTGTCTTTCGTTTAGTCACAAAAGCCACATTCAGAAGATCAATTGGCTCATCTGAAGGAATATGACGATCAGCAAGGGCTGCAATCACCATGGAATCAACACCCCCAGAAAACAGGATTGCAATGTTTGCTTTCTTACTACAAGTTTTCAAAACTTCCTTCGATGCTAGGTTTTCTTCCCTAGCTAAACATAAGACACGTCTCTTGACTGCAACACTCAGGACATCAATGAACTGCTGAACTACTTTTTGTGTGTGTTGTTCTGTGAGAAATACCTCAAGTGTCTCTTTTGTTCCTGGAATGCTGGAACGGTTTCTACAGTGAGTTTCCAGTGGAACCTGAGGCAGCTTCTTATTTAAGGGAACAATGGGTTTCGAAAGGTACAGTTTGGCTTCATTTGCTACCACTGATACAAACGGTGGCAATTTTGCTAGAGTCTGAGTCAGATCATTAGCACATTCTTCAACAACATTTTCCTTAGAAATGTGTTTCCAAGGATATAATTTTAAAATCACACATCTAGAAACAGCAGCAGAATTGAGATCAATTTGGAAAATCCCAGATGCTGGAACTTCTTGCCACTGATCTGCAACTTCAGATATCTGGGCACCAACTGAAGAAAGGCAGAAGCTCTTGCCCAGATTACTAAAATGCCAAAGCAAGCTACGCCGTCCAAAAAAGTCCCTACCAAACCATAAGTAATGGCTAGAGGCTTGATAATATATAAAAGACCAAGGACCTTGGATTTTAGAGAACAGTGACAAAATGTCAGACTCATTCTTACAGGCAGAAAGGCTACTGAACATAATCTGAGTGTCATTGTCTTCTGCTTCAACTTTAACTCCATTAAAAACTTCTCCATTCCATAAGAACACGTTACCACGTTCATCTTCCATAGGCTGGGTAGTCAAAGCACCTCTCAAATGAAGAACATGACCAGAAAATAAGCACTGATAGTTAACATTAGATTTTATCAACTGTTTGCTACTACTGGGGCCCCGTTGTCTCAGATTGTATAGTAAATCCTCTTTTAAGTCTTTACTGTAGTGCTCAACAGAGAAGCTTACGGTACAGCATATGCCACACATGGTTATGTGAGGTCAGGGTGACTGTGTCTTGGCTTTGGGCGTCTCTGGGTTTTCTAATGCTTGGTATTCTTTTCTTAGCTCATCTAATGTATCTGTTAGGAGGGAGTGAGAAAAAAAATATTGAAAAGTTCAGTGATGTTTACCCATTAATTCATGAACAAAACAGGCTACTTCTCAACATTAAACTGTATGAGTACAATTGTCAGTAACAATTCAGTGTTTTAGTGACAAAAAATACTGATATTTTGGTAATAGTTTCTTTTTACTGAGTACAGTTGGCTAAGCACTGTACATATACAATTTTAAAATTCCTCTCAACCTTCCTAATGCTGCAACCCTTTAATATAGCTTTTCATGTTGTAGTGACTCCAACCATAAATTATTTCATTGCTACTTCATAGCTCTGATTTTGCTGTTTTGAATTGTAGTATAAATATCTGATATACAAAATAAATGTTATGCAAATATCTGAAATATGACACCCCCAAGGGGGTCTTGACTCACAGGTTGAAAACTGCTGCCTTAGTGGCTCAAAGTGTCCCGCTCACACATAGGCAAAGTAATGATTTTTTTTCATACTTTTGTCAAGCTCTTATAAATGCATGCGTAGTAACTACAGCAAATCCATCTTAAAGTTATAAGTAATTTTTTATTTCTTGAAATTTCATACATGTTTATAATATATTTTGGTCATAGCCACTTCTGACTCCACCCTGCCTATCTCCTACAGGGGCTTGGGCAATCTACCAAGGGGCATATCCCTGGGAGCTGACGCTCCCTCTCCTGGCAGCCATCAACTGCCAACAGTTCCTTATTAGTTCAGCTCTCAACCTTCATCAGATAAGTCTCTGTTGGCAGTGAATGGCAGTTAACATAGAGAACCACAACTGGTACCAGTGCAGAGAGTAAGTGGCTGTGGAGCATTCAGTTCCAAACTGTACAGCTACATCCAGTAAGAGGTGTCTCTAATGACCACGGCTCTGGGATCAGAGTACAAGAGGGGACAGAAACACCATCATGAGAACAAGAGCCTGGGGAGACTGCTGCAAGACAGTATCTTCCAAACACAAGGGGGTTATGAGTATGAATTCACAGCAGCTGTGGCTGCTTGCCAAGATCAAGCCAGTCAAAATCCAGCCCCATCCAGCTGAAGATTTTCTTTTTAATCTGTAGACAACTGTGAAAGGCTCACACTCACACTCACACTCATTCAGACAGGGTTTAACTGAGGTACCATTAAAAACCCCACAAAAAGCCTACAAAAGGTTCTACAGCAAAAAGATGACTACTTACTTTTGCTTTCAGATAACATTTTTGTTCGATCTGCAAGAAAGAATATGTTGCTGTTCTGTTGCTGCTTGTATACTTTCTGCAAAAGAAATTTACAATATCAGCATGTGATTGCATAGTGATACTAAAGAGAATCCTATTATCACTTACTGTTGAACTTCAGAAATATTCAGAACAATAATTTACCGAATATAAACATATACAAAGCCAGAAATGGCCATTTGCACACATGTGCCATCATATCACTTTACTTTCAGCAACAAGGGCTATCCCAGCCCACAGGCTTATCATTTACTTTATAAATAAGTAACACACGGAGATCTTTTCTGAGCAGTGAAGGTCCTTTTTTTTTTTTTTTTTTTTTTTTAAGTTAAATCATTTTATTTGAGGGAAAAACCTGGACCCTGCCATATTCTCGAACGAGGCGGCGGTTACGAAGACCTCCAAATCCAGTGGAACCCAAGCAGAGCGACAACACGCGTGGACTACTCCCCGGAGGACCGTGAAGGTCCTTTTTAAATTACCACATGGGCACAACACTGTAGTTCTTTGCTGTCTTCAAACTTCATTACTATTTTCAAAATCACTTTTTCATTTAAGACGTATTTTTTCAGTGTATCTACGCATGAAACGGCGGCCGGTTCATAAGCACATTCATAAAAAAGGCATTAAACGGGTTAAATATTTGGAATATTAAGGCTTTCTGTGGAAAATGAGGTAACTCATTCTTTTTTGTTAAAATATAATAGGAAAGGATTTTTTTTTCAACCTTGAGATCTATTAACATATACAAAAAACAAAACAAATCATTTTAGTTTTAAAATTAGGATGTTAGAATCTTGTAATTTCAGCATAAATGATCTAACTTGTAATTTTAATATACTGTATGCTATTTGGATTCCTACGGTAACTTACCCGAGTCTTCTTCAGGTTAGAAAGTTCATCCACAACAACTTTTTGTTCTTTGATCTATTAAAAAAATAAAAGAAAAAACCCTTAAGTGGAAATTTTCAAAGTATGTTTAGTGAGTCACTGCTTTAAAACTAGACGGGATTGGGAAAGCCACAGACTAGCTGCCTACGTGGACACTGCACAGCTGCAAGAGCACTCAGTGCGGCTTAGCAGAAAACAGCTGGACTTGCCAGGGGCCAGTCAGCACATGGCACACACCTTTGACCAAAGTGAGACCCTGTCTACCCAAACTAATACCAGTCCTTTAACTCTGTGAAGTCTTGCTGGAGTCTAAAGGAAGAGAAATAAGCAACGGGATTCATGATGTACTAGATGTCAGCCAGACACTCAGATAAAACAAGTGATACTGAATGCCCTAACTGGGGTGATAAAACGTCATTTTCCACCCTTGGATCATTGCCATTGTGTATCACGGACTGTGCACTGCTGCTATCGCTAGGCTTGTTCCAGACCGTCAGATGAATGTCTAACTAGGCAGTAACACACTGCTACACACAATATTAAGAGGCTTGTTGCAGCAGAGGCCAGAGTATTCTGAGAACTCAGCCCTACCCCTGGGTATGTACCCTATGCCTCCACACTGGCAGAGGTGAGAGCTGCACTAACTATAAGCTACATGAGTACATCCTCCTTGAAAGTCAAGCCTGCTTGTGCAGTGCTCTTATGCTTCTTACGGGATCGACAGGCATATATATCGACAGATATATATATATAAGTTAGCACTACATTTTTAGAATGTTTTTAGAATCATTCGAAGTTGAGGATATATTTTAAGGTAACAGACAGCTGAAGTCATGGTGGGTCATGCCTGGGTCACGGTGGCTGGAAGAACGGGGCAGACTTTTAAACTTCCGTGACTGACATCAAGGACGGCAAACAGGTGGGTGCGTGGCTAACTGGATGAGGCATAACCACAGAACCACAAATCTGTTTGAAGGGGTGTGAGTAGCGGTGCAAGGGCTTAAGGGGAAAACCCCACCGAAACCTCTGCCCCAGCGTCACCCTGCTGTCTTCAGAGGACGGGCGTCTGTGTCTCCCTCCTCGCAAATCTGCAGGGAGGACGGGCGACCGGCTGCCGAGCGCCGAGACCGGCCGGGGAGGCCGCCGCCCACCGCCCCCAGCCCCCGGCCCCCCGCCGCACCTTACTGCTAAGGGCCTCGGCTTGTGCAGGCGACGTGTGGGCGGGCGCCGGCCCCGGGCGGTCGCCGGACTGCGCCCCGCAGCCCGGCATCTCCACGCCGCGCCGCACGCCGGAGGGCCGCGTCCAGAAGGAAGCCGCAGCAGGAAGTTCCGGACCAGGGCGGGGTCTCCGCGCTGAACCCCGCCCCTTCCAGCACCCCGACCAATGAAGTCCGCACACTTACGTCTGCGCAGTGGCGGGCACGCGGAGGGCGGGGTGAAAAGGCGGACCATAGAGTAGTTGTGCGCATGTGCAAACTCGTTTTCGGCTAAAGGCGCAAAAAATTGCTTGGAAGGCTATTTCGGAGTCGACGAGCGTTCTGTGTCGCCCCCTATCGGACCTGAGATAATAATACTAGTAATAGTAATAGTAACAATAATAATGAAGATAATGATAAATAACAACTCACCCTCACATCCAAATAAACTATAGAAGTAAAAATAGGCAAGATAGGAACCGGAGGCGCGGATTTCAGATACACAACTATCACAGGGCTGTACAGAGTTCGCAAGGTTTTTGGCAACTTGTTGTTAGGGTTCCCAGGTGAAATATGGCTTAATATGAATCTATAATCCATGAATTTCACATGAATTTTGTATTATCTGTTCCATGCAATATCTCAGTCAAGTCTGGAAATAGACAAGAAAAAGTAATGAGTACTTTTCAGCTGTTGTAGCTGTGACAGCCGGCTGACTAGGTTCTACGGTGCAGCACAGGAAGGAGCTGGCTGCAGAGTAAGAGGGCAGCAGAGCCTAACTTGTGGGTTTTCTTTTTGTTAAGACCCGGATGATTTGATAACTAGAAACCTTCACAGGTTACAATCTCTTATACTGTAAGTCACTGATCAGCAGTGTGCCTAGCACTGTGTTTTTGGCATTTCTTTATTGATGGAATTCTTGGGCACCCTTTGGTTTGGTTTTGACATCTCTCATTCTTTGGTGAATTGACTAAAAGTTCTGACGTGTTGGAAATGCTCAGTGAAGGGGTAATGGAGACAACCCATGTAGCTAACGGCTCGTACTTCATGTGGTAAGCCCATGTACGCATGCCTCTGATGATGCTCCGAACAAATCTCGAATGATTATAAAACTAAGTGTACTTTTTTTCTTCTGTCTCATTGATTTTAACTTTTATTTTGTTTCTGATTTGCACATCCCTGCTACGCTATTTCACATCGGAAGCAATGGTGATAAGGAATTTAGTGTAGTTTAATGGTCCAACATTTAGGGGTATCTGCAGCTTAGATATCTTTTAGAAGAGATATGGTAGATAATTCAGTTGTCAAACTGTGACCATTAGAGGAAATGAGTTCCTCAGCCTCTGGACTGATAAGCTTCCTGTGTTTCTGTGTTTACCTTCAACCCGAGACTGAAGTTGTGAACTGATGTTCTAAGATCTCTGTGTGTCTCTGTGTCTATATGTTAGAATATTCATTACCTCTCACTATGTGATGTCAAATAATTTCCTACTTTGGAGCATATTAATAGTTATTAGTCATTATTTCTTATCAATTGAATTCATCCGCAGATAGTTTTTGCACGTGTATACTGGCCAGGGCTGCCCTCCACCTCCCATCACCCTGTCTACCCACTGTGCTTGCCGTAGATCTGGCTCATGTTCCAGGGGTTATTTTGAAGATCAAACCTAATACCTATACAGTATTCATTGTTAGTCTCAGGCACATAATAAGGTCTATAGAAGTATGTTAAACAGCAAATCAGAAATTATTCCAGAGGGTTTGATGAAATAGAAAGATCTTGGGCTATGGATTGCTTTGATTTATTTCATATTGAAGATACTTTTTCTTTTCCAGTAATTTTCAGCATGGCTAGAGTGTCCATAGCCAATGGTCTAGCAATATATGGAGCCACTTTGGGTTACCACAATGATGGGTGGCTTTTAATGAATTCTGAAAAGATTTAGTAAGATAAAGTAGAAGCCACTTGTAAGGTGACAGACTGAACCACAGCGATTTTTTAGAAGCAGAACTAGCTGACCACAGGCAATCTCAGTAAGGAGATAAAGTTGGACAGTGTATAGAGTAGGAGCAGGGGCAGGCATAGGAGTAAGAAGGTGAAGTCAGGTGATATACGGGCATAGGCATAAGAATTCTCTTGGAAGGTAATAGAGTCCAAGATACTGAGCTGTTGTTTACCAGAGGTGCTCTAGTGCGTCCTTATCAGAGACTTTAGGGAGGGGGCAGGGACTTTGCCCGAGGAACAGAGCATTTGAATTTTCCACTAAAAGGAGGAAATGTGCAAGTACTAGGTTAGAGATAACTAAATCTTTTCTACTTGAGGTAATATTAGTTCTGAAGCCTCCTTTCAGTAATGGGGTGTGAAGATCAAGCACTCCACTTCTGCTGCCAACATCTCTTGAGGCTCTCATGCTGAAGAAGTGAGTATGACGTGGGTGAATGCCAGATATGAGGCGTAAAGATGTCCTCACTCTCAGGGTCCTGACAGTGAACACCTCCTCAAATTTTCACTCTGCATGCCTCATGCCTTGCCCTTTTCTCCACTCTGCATTCCTTCTGTTGCACAATCTAGTGGTCAGAGTCACCTGTGAATAATGCCAGTGTAAGTTATATAAGCTGCCCATGCCTGATACACCTCAGCAAGCCTGACAACTACAAAAAGATCTATCAAAATTAGCTTCTTTTAGATTTCTACTACAGTACTCCCACTGTCTACCTAGCTTTCCAAAGATAAAGGCCATGCTTTAACATGGTTAGGTCTGCGTGACTGAAGTAGACTCAGTCATCAAGCGGGCTCACACTACATGGCTGTCTGTAAAAATGGCTGTGAAATGTTTACTATTAGAGGAGTTGCAAATATCAAGTAGACATTTTTATGCCTTTAAAACATGTAAAAATGTGTCCTCCCGACTAAATTAACAAAGACAAAGTCTAAATGATACCTGATGATAACACTGTACAAATTCAAGTGGTGCTTTTCTTCATAGAGTGTCTCATCCTAGGGCAGAATTCTTTATAGCTAAGGCGGTCTTAGCCTAGTCCTGATTGTAGTAATTCAGCTTTATCAAATCATTAACCAAAACGTATTTACAAACGAACAATAGTGCCTTGGGGGGGTCTTACTTTTTTTTCTCTGTGAAACAACGAGGTAGGAAAATTCTACTGTATTGGTATAATGTAAGCAAGAAAGCTACCTTAATTTATCTGTGTTTGCCTGCATATTGTCTGATTTTTAAAAATATCACTATGCAGAATCTGGAAACAACCTAGATGCCCCACAACAGAGTAATAGATACAGAAAGTATGTTACATTTACACAATGGGATACTATTCGGCAATTAAAAACAAGGAAATCATGAAAATGGCAGGCAAATGGTGGAAACCAGAAAAGATCATCCTGAGTGAGGTATCCCAGAGGCAATATCCACTTATGAGTGGACTTTAGCCATAAAATATAGGATAAACATACTAAAGTTTCTAGCCCCAAAGAAGGTAAACAACAAGGAGGACCCTAGGGAAGATGCTTAATTCTCATTCAGATGGGCAAATACAATAGGCATCAGAAGTAGGTGAAGACAAGGAACAGGACAGGAACATTCCACAGAGGGCCTCTGAAAGACTCTACTCACCAGGGTATCAAAGGAGATACTGAGACTTATAGCCAAACTTTGGGCAGAATGCCAGAATCCTCATGTAGGAAGAGGGAGATAGAAAGACCTTGTCCTCTACAAGGAGAACAACAGAGCCCAAATACCTGGGCCCAGGGGAGCCTGCAGAGACTGATACTCCAACTAAGGACCCTGCATGGAGAGGATCTAGACCTCCCATTGGCTGCTCAATTTCCAGGTGGGTTCCCTAGTAAGGGGTACAGGGGTTGTCTCTGATATGAATTCAGTGGCTGGCTCTTTGATCACCTTCCCCTGGAGGGCCCACAGAAGAAGATGATGCAGCCAGCCTTGATGAGACTGATGAGCTAGGGTCAGATAGAAGGGGAAGAGGTCCTCCCCTATCAGGAGACTAGGGAAAGGGCACAGGGAAAAGAGGGAGGGTGGGTGGGACTAGGAGGAGACAAGGGAGAGGCTGCAGTGGGGATACAAAGTGAATAAATTGTAATAAATATATAAATAAAATTAATTAAAAAATTAAAAATATCGATATGCAGTAGCTGTTAGCTTGACCTAGAAAAACAAAACAAAACAACACATGGCAATGTACTTGAGTTCCAGGTGACTTATAGCAGCAGCTTGGTGTTCAAGGTAAGATTAAACTCTGTGTGGCTGAAGCTGTGCTCAGTGTTAGCTTCATGTTCCCACATGTGGCTGCCGCTACGCTTGAGCTTATGCCCCTGAGAAAACACGCATAGGATGGCTGCTGGAGGAGCCGTATCTACAGAGAGCAGTGGGGGAAGGAGGGAAGTTGGGCATTGAGAACATGGGGAACTTTGAAAAACTCAATGTCTTATGCCACTGGCACTAACATTTAAACTAGTTATGAGTTTATTTGGAGTCAATGAATAAAGCTGAGAATAACTAGACAGTCTGCTGTGGTTCACATCAGTAACTGGATTTTAAACTGCAAGGCATGTGGTAAAGAGTTTAGTTCAGTGTTTAAAGAAACTTTTATCTGGACTTGGGTATTTGTGTCCCAAGAGTCAAAGACTCTCAGCCTTTTTTTATTCATTGAATTCAGTAATTTTTATTCGTAAATTTTCTTTTCTGAAAAACATGAGCTCTCATGAATTTTGTAAGTGTAATACTGAAAATATTGTGCTCTTTGAAAAATACAAGGAAAGGTATATACTATAGGAATAACCAGAAAGGAGCCCACAGGAAAGGGGTGTCCTTGCTGGGGAGGAAATCATTCACGTAGCCAGTTTCTTACCCAGTTGAACACAGTCTTAACACAAACCCTGGCAGTGCAATCGAGTGCTATGGCACACTCATGTGACTGCAGCACTAGAAGGCAAAGGCGGAAGGACCTTCTCCTCCTCCACAGCTTGTCTGTGTTTTCCGTGAGAAAAGGCTTATAGGAAATCAGTGATTTTGGCGTTAAATCTAAGAAATCGTTAAAACATGATCACAACACCTTTTCTCTTGCACATCTAGAAATATAATAGTTTGAGATTTCACATGTGTTCTGCCCAGTTCGCGAACCCCAAAAGACCAGGAATAAACAGACTCTGCTGTAAATACATGAGGT